AGAGCACAGTTGAAACGTTTAAAAACAAATTCAAAATTATATTTTTAAACCTAACTTAGTTCTTAATGTGGTAATATTAGCATTTTTCTGAGGAACTCCAGTGTTTTTGTGGACTTGTATGTCCTTATGTGAGTTAAACATGCAGAATTGGTCAGTGCACAGATGCACCATTTCTTTTGTAGACCTGTTGGCAGTCTAAGGGTTAAAATGCATTCTGTCCGTCTACATATTGCATAAATGGGATAGACATGAGACTAGTTGTTCATGCAAATTAATCTTATGGAGCTGTAACAACTCACTTGTTAGGCTTGCAAAAATCTAAACTGCTTGTGACTCAGCCATCATAACACACTGCCTTTTGTAGCCCCTCATCTGGTCATGGAACCATTCAAAAGTTTATTTTGTGTAAGACACCAGTCCCCATTGTGTATTCTCTATCATAATTGTGTTTGCACATTTTACTCTATTGGTGTATCGTACACGTTATAACCTCCCTCCCTGATGGAGGGGAAACATTTGCTAGGTCACATCTGTAGTACGTTTTAATGAATACTTTTGCTGTGATACTTTTGGTATGTTATTCCACAACATCAAATGTTTTTTTTCTATATTATAGTACATTTTGCGGCAATACAGGGAACCTTTGTCTTATTTTAACAGGGCTGTGCTTTGGTAAGTTAAGAATATTTTCTTGACATCCTCAATGAAAATGTAAATGCAAAGTGGCAGTGCCCTCGACATGTGTGAGCGCTGATCATTTATGATTGCTGGCTTTAGGGCAATGTTACACCCAGTTCATTCACTGCAAGCACAAAATCTCTTTATTGTTTTACTGGAAACAAAATTAAAACCCATCTTCCCATTTTTACAAAAAGTAACCTCACGGAAATGGTATCTTTCATGGTAACAAATAAATGCTAATAAAACTAATGTGTCTGATCCTATCAAAAATATTCCCAATATAGCAATAGGCTGCCCAGCCCTCAACTATTACAGGGAAATAAAACACAAATTTATTTTTTGCTTAAAAATGTTCTTCTTGTCCCAAGCCATGATGTTCTCCAGTGGCCTAAACATTTTTAGGTTAGTTTAATTGAATTTCTTTCAAATAAATACAAAGCAAGCTATAATTGTCTTTTTTACACTGTTTTACAAACCATCCTAAAATTGAGCTTGACTCTATGCTACTTTTTCTATTTATCCCCAGTCCAATACTGTCTGCTGTTGAAATTCAGTCCTTGAGATTTTGAACAATTTTGGTTTAAAAGATCACAGTTGTACTTCAGGAAAAAAATGCCAGTCTTTTTAATGGGTTCTTTTGATGTTTCTAAATTGTAGCCTTGGCAAACTGAACAAAGAGTCGGTGGCTTTGTAAACCAAACTTAATGAGGTGCAGAGTGGATAAATTAGCTATGTCTTTCACTAGGTATTCAGAATTCTAGAAATGTTTGTAATGTGTGAATCATATTTTAATTAGATGAACTAAGACTAAAGACTGATGCTAAATAGTAATCATCTCTGAAAAACCTTTGTATAATCTAATGCATTGGGACGCCACTTCAAACTGTCCAAAACGCATGATTTAGTGATGCATTTTTCGTGTACGCTCTTATGAGCAAGTGACCCATAAACTGCATATTATATAGCAGTTTGTGGTAAATCAGTGTGGTACATTGAAACGCTACAGTACTTTACAAATGTTGATGTATGAAGAGCCTTGTATGAAGTACAGCAAAATGTGTGCCCACATTTACCTTTCCAATAGCCCTATATAGTATTTATATTTGTTGAAGACCATTTCATAGAATCATAGAATTATACAGGACAGAAGGAGGCCATTTGGCCCATCGTGTCCGTGCTGGCTCTTTGAAAAGATCTGTCCAATCCAATCCCACTCCCCTGCTCTCTCCCCATAGCCCTACTTGTCCTCCCCAAATAATTATCTACTCTCTTAAAAGCCGTTATCGAATTGGCTTCCACCACCCTTTCAGGCAATGCATTCCAGATCCGAACAACTCACTGTGTGCGTGTATATATATATATATATATTAAAAAATAATTCTCCTCACCTCCCCTCTGTTTCTTTTAACAACTATTTTAAATCTGTGTCCTCAGATTACCTACTCGTCCTCCAATAGAAATAGTTTTTCCTTGTTCACCCTATCGAATCCCCTCATAATTTTGAAAACCTCTATTAGGGGTCTCCTCTTAACCTTTTCTGCTCCAAGGAGAACAATCCTAGCTTCTCTAGCCTCTCCTGATACATTAATAAATCTGTTGAATTCCTTTATCTCGGTAAGTAAAAATAATTACTCAGACAGTCAATGTTTACTTTACAAAGGGACAGAAAAAAACTATGTCCTCGATCTGATATCCTTTACATGTTACACAAAGATTATAATTATTTATAGAGGGCTCTCTACATGTTTCTTCACTGGATATGGTAAATATTTCATGAGTGACCTTTAATCATAATTGTCACTGACTCCTGTAAATAACTCCAGCAGGGCTTTTTCAGCTTAAAGTGAACAAATTCTTTGTACACCATAAAATGCCTGTGAAATCAGGGTGATGTCGAACGGCAGTGGGATTAGGGGTGTCTGAAGCACCGTGCTCAACCCAAGTATCTAATCAATCCTCGTGATTTATAGGGCCACTTAACAAAAGTAACTATTCAGTTTTACAAGAAAAGAGTAGGACAGAAGGAGATTAATATAAAGTGCTAATCAAAACTGTGCTGAGAAGTGGAGCCTTTTTTGAAGCACTCAAAAGGTTCAGGTACTGGGCCACCAACACTGAGTAAATTTTCAGTAGTATGTCACAAAATGTAGCTTTGCCTCCAACCTCACAACTGCTTAATAAATAATAATAATCATAATCATAATACTTGCATTTATATAGAACCCTTGAGTCGGATAAAGTCTCGGAGAGCTTCAAAGTGGTGGATTTGGACCCCGAGCAAGGGGGATGTGGTCATAGGCTTGATTGAAGAGATAAGTTTTAAAATGGGATTTAAAGCTGGATAGGGGCTAAGGCAGAGGAATGGAAGGAATGGACTCCAAAGTTTAGGGGTATATTGATCGATGGTAGTGAGGAGCGGGTGGGACACAAAGTAAGCTTGAGTTTGCAGAGCTGAAGGAGTGAGCAGAGGAGTGAGGTAGCATATGAACCTCAGAAGAAAACTTACTGTATCCATGTACAGCTTCTTCCAGTGCCACTGCCAAATTTGGAACAATTTGGTGCTGTCCGCTTGTGTCCATTAGCATTTGTGGTGAGGCTAGGCAGATTAACGATGCTAAAAGCATTTGCAGCTAATGGAGAGATTTGATTGCCTCAAATATGTCAATGCACCATTGGCAGTTTGGAGCCATTGCAGTTGTAAAGCAGATGAAATAGTGCAGCATAAAGTAAACTTTGCCTTTCACAGATTGTTCAGCTGTTTAGTTTGGTCGGGGTGGGGGCGATTGTAATTTATGCACAAGTTAAATAGTCTTGTTGTCTGTGTGGGTCATAAAGGTGACAGTGACCCTAGTTTGCATAAGAAAGCAGGTAACCCGTTAGAATGGTCCCAGTTGAGCACAGATCTACGGTGGAACTGCTTTAAGCCGGAAGCACAGTACACATGGCTTTCTGCACTTTGTGGGGTTGTGAGATCACCACAGACTCACTTCCTGCACGTTGCATATAATAATAATGACCTCTGCTATGGCAGCTTTCATGTCAGGAGGACTTCCCAAAGCACTTCACAGAATATATTGTAAATTGCGATCGCTGTGGGTTTTCTGGGAAAATGAGGCAGCCAATTGTGCACGGCAGTGTCCCGCAAACAATCTTGAAACAAATGACCAATATTGTTTGGGGGATTGTTGGTCAGGACACTAGGAGAAGCTCCTTTCTCTTTCAAAGAATGCTATGGGATCTTTAACACCCAGATAGGATCTCAGTTTAATATCTCATTCTAAGGGAAGCACCACCAACAATGCAGCACTCCCCAAGCATTGCACTGGAATATCAGCCTAGGATATGATTTTAAAGGCTCTATTTGGGCTTTGAACCCACAACCTTCTGACTGGAAGCCAGGCTAACTTCTATGTGAGGAAAAACCTTGCTGATGTCACTTTCTGCATCCCATATATCTTCAGGAAATGCCACTGACATCAATTCATAAAGGAAGTGATGTCAGTTGACCATTCATTCATGCTTCATTTTAACTCTGCCTCCGAGATTCTGAACCCAGAGGAGTGCATACTAACTGGGTTGCCCTGTATTGTGCATCCATAGCCATGTTGTATTATGTCATATGCCTATATCAGTCCGGTGGTAATCATAAGTGAGGAATTTGCTTCTTAAAACGTACTGAGAGCACTGAAGCAAGAGACCAGATGGTGCACAGCACATTGAGGTTCTTTAACCTATGACATCAATTCAGCCCAAATTCATGGTAACATTAACCTTATTTCTCTGATGTCTGTGAAGTTGCTAAATAAAATAAATCCACATTGTTTTAATCCAGTTCAGTATGAGTGCACATTACAAAACTAAACATAGGTTTAGCTTGAAATAAGCTGTATCAAAGCAATGTATTCTCAAAGAGGTTACAAAGATCGCTGATGTGTGAAATGAAGATGTTGGGTCAAAGCAAGTTGGTTACAGTGCAAATAGTGCTTTACTCTGCATCTAATCCATACCGTCTATCACCATTGAGCATGTAATTCATATGCAATTCAAAATGAGGGAAAGCGTGTACCATCATTGACATCCCTTTCCTAAATCATAACGGATTCAAGGGCACATCGGAAGCTGATCAATTTCTGCAGTTTGGAGCTGACTTCAAATGCTCCTGACCAACAGGTGCAGTTCCAAATCCTAATGTGGTATTAAATTGTCACCACAATTAAAAGTGTGGAATAAAGAGTCTTAATGACCTCTTTCACTCTATGTGAGTAGAGTTTTAATGTATTAAAATGCAATGCTCATGAACTGTTATTCTTCTGTTGCAGATAAAACTTTCTGATGTGGCCCAACATACCTGGTAGCTGGAGCTGATGGTGACTAAGAACTGAATTAACTAGAACCTGAGGTAGTGCTGGGCAAGCCACAGGTGGTTACATTTTGGTCTTCAAAAGCTTCAGGAAGGCCCCTAGCCTACTGCTTTGTTTACTTTCAAACCACTCATGGCTAGCAAACGGAAATCCACAACTCCTTGTATGGTTCGTGCCAGAGATGTGGTGGAGCAGGACCCTGATTTAGAGATGGATGGAAATGCAGATGAAGGGTCCCCATATCAAGACTCTTCAATGTTGTCTAATGAAAGCTGGCCGGCCGATAATGGAATAAGTGCTGGTGATCAGGCTCCAGAGAACGCTGCCTTAGACAATCAACAGTCCAAGAAACTAGAAGGGGGCTATGAATGTAAATACTGCACCTTTGAAACACAGGACTTGAATGAGTTTACAGAACATGTTGACAGTGCGCATCCAAATGTTATCCTAAATCCATTTTACGTCTGTGCAGCGTGTACCTATACAACAAAAAGGTACGATACCTTCACTGATCACAATGGTAAATATCATCCAGGTGAAACCAACTTTAAGTTGAAGTTGATCAAACGCAACAATCAGACGATCCTTGAGCAAACTATTGAAGAGCCCATCAGTACAGATGGGAATACAGATAAGGCTGAAGCTCCCCCTGCTGGAATCTCAATAAGTAAAACTCCGATCATGAAGATGATCAAAAACAAAGTAGACAGTAAGAGAATAAATGTATTTCCGCGAGTGAAAGATGAATATGGAACTACGCATGACTGTAAACTGGAAGTGAATAGCAGTGGCCTTATCCACAGTATGAATAGGGGATTGGTTATTCCAGAGACTGTGATTAAGGATGGAGTGCCTCATGTGATGCCATCTATACAGCCACCACCAAACATCAGTTTAATACCCAAAGTCATGATCCCCATGCATGGCTCGAAATACAATGCTGCTATGGATGTGAACAAAAACCTAATAAATTCCTTCAACAAATTCCCTTATCCCACACAAGCTGAACTGTCTTGGCTAACATCTGTATCAAAGCATCCGGAAGAACAAATTAAAATGTGGTTCTCAACCCAGCGTCTTAAGCATGGCATCAGCTGGACTCCTGAGGAAGTTGAAGAGGCGAGGAAGATGATGTTTAATGGCACCATTCAAACGCCAACAATCACTGTTGTACCAGCACAGGTGCCAACTTCTACCAAAAGCACACAGCAAGTTATTCAGACTGGGATGTCATGCCAGCTGGTTGGCCAAACAGGTATTGTATTGACACAAGTTCCGAATGGATCGGCAGTGTCTTGTTCTCCAATCACGTTGACTGTAGCTGGCAGTACAAATCAGTCTCAGAAACGCAATTTGCAAACTCAACATGTAACTCCAAATGCCAAACGCTCAAATGTTGTCCAGATTTGCCAACTCACACCACGGGGGAATTCAGTTCTGCTTTCTTCAGGAGGGACAGATGTAAGCACCAGTCGTAAAAAGACTAAGGCACAAATGGCAGAACTGAAGGCTAGTTTTGCTGGAAGCCAGTTCCCCGAGGATGATGAGGTGTTCAGGCTCATGCAGGTCACAAAACTCACGAGAGCAGAAATAAAGAAGTGGTTCAGTGATAACAGGTACCGAACACAAAAAGGCCTAGTTAGTCATACTGTTAATGAGCCACATGAATCTCCTTTAGCAAGTCACTCAAATCGGCGATCTGGATGGAATGCCTTCTCTGATTTTGCACCACAGAAATTCAAAGAGAAAACAACGGAACAACTAAAGATACTCGAAGAAAGTTTTCAGTATAGCTCCTTCCCAACAGACGAGGAGAAAGACAGACTAAGGATAGAGACCAAACTGACCAGAAGGGAGATAGACTCCTGGTTCTCTGAAAGAAGAAAGCTGAGAGACTCGCTGGAAGGAGCAATGCTAGAAGCAGACAAACTGCACCTTCTCACTCAGGATTTGAAACGAGAAAGTATAGGAGATGTAAAATCAGAAGGACAAGAACTAGCTGATGCTGCCCAAGTGAAGTCTTCCCATTCAGGTATGAGTTATCCATCCAAATCTGGAACTCCTCCGCCAAGTGCAGGATTACAGCATATTAAAACTGCCAGCCCAATTAACAAGACCCATAAGAAAACCCAGGAACAGCTACACATATTGAAGAGCGCATTTGTTCGCACACAGTGGCCAACAGTAGAGCAGTATGACAGTTTAGCAGTACAGAGCGGGCTGCCTAGAAATGAAATAGTACGTTGGTTTGGGGACAACAGATATGCAATTAAAAATGGCAATTTAAGGTGGCTTGACCAGTACCAAAGAGCAAATACAAAAGGTCATAATGGTCAGAATAAGTTTAATGGCAGTGGAGTCAGTGAAAGAAGGGGAAGCAGAAAAGGACATAAAATGGCAGGTGGTTTGGGAGGAGTAACTCAGTGTACACATAGCCAAGCTGGTAAATCAGTCCTTTTTCAATATTACTTTCGACACAGGCAGCTAAGAGAGGAGGATCTTGATGAGCTGGTTTCAAAATCCAACATGAGCTATGAACAGGTCAGGGACTGGTTTGCGGAAAAGCAAACGGAAGATGCCATGGATACGTCTGAGAGCAATAGCAGAGATGACCAGTTCAGTGATGAGGATGTCGAGGGGGAGGATGAAGAGTGGGGTGAAGTGGAGAACGTCAGTGAGAGAGATGAATATAGTGTCTCTGAATTCACAGAAAACTGGGCATACACATCACAAGAAGGCTCCACTGAGTTTAATGAACTGGATTCTGAAAGCATGTCTGCTGAAAATTCCAACATTTAGCCAAGGTAAAGGACTTGCTGGTGGTTATTTTAGTTAATATTTCATATATACCTTTCTCGCCCACCCCCACCCCACACACACACACTTCATCTCACTGACTCCTTGTTCAAAAGGGTGGCTTAAGACCGTGGACTGTAGGTACGGTGGATGTCACTTTTCAGTTCACCAGGATGTTGTGGGTAGGGATAGAACCCAGGTTTTTCTGCTCTTTTTAAACCTGGCAGAACTGAGCAAATAAAATCAGCCACCATATTAATCAACAACAAATTATATCTGTATAGCGCCTTTCACGTCAGGAAGACGTCTCAAGGCACTAGGATATTAAAATATCAGTGGAAACTAGAATTCAAATGGGAGGGGGGGGGGGGAATGGGAGGGGCTTTTCGGCCAGAGGTTTTTTTTTCAATTACCGTAAAAGTACCATTGAAATAAAGGTTGTGTATTTTGTGTAACCTCTTTAAACCTTGGAGCTGCAGTGATATTGTGCAACAATGTTAAAATCTAATCACAGTTCCTATTTTGGGAATATTCAGGAAATAATGGAAAATGAATGTTTTTGTTCAGTTAATAAATAGTTTTCTTTTGTTTTAAAAAAAAGTGGGCATCTATTCCCCCTCCATCAGCTGTGGCTCTCCAAACCCATTTTACCTGCATTATTCCAGAATTGCTTTAAGACATGGTTCGTCAGTATAGTTCCAACGACCAGATGAGTTTGGAACAGAGTAGAAAGGAGAAATGCAGTGCTGCTCTACATGAGTGATCTTAGCCTGCAGGCTGGCACAAATATGACTCTCGCTGCGTCTGGAGAGATCAGTAAGAAGTACCACTTCAGGCAGCAGAGGAACTCCTTTGCAGTGCTACTGCTTTGAAAGTTGTGCCTCCCATCAGCAGCACAGTTATAAGGTAAATTCAGCACTGGAGGGATCAGAGGTTTGACTTTTGCTGCATCTGATCTTGAAAGTGCTGGAGCTTGGCATCACCTTTCTCCAGCATGAGATCTCCCTTTCATAGTGAGCACCACAATTCACTTTTAATTTAAAAGAGGTCACATTTGCCTATGGATCAACTTGATAATTTTTATTGTGAAGTGCTTTGAAACGTCTCAAAGACGTGATAAGATGCTGTATGAAATGCAAGGGTTATTTTTTATTATTCATACCCCACTCCTCTGTTTTCCTGTTTTGCTCCGTTAATCGGTGGTCATGCCTTAAGGCACTTACGGCACAATGTCAGGAACTCTCTACCTCATCTCCTTTGTATCTCTTTAAATCCTCTTTGACAGTGGCTATGATCACTTCCTCCTTAGCCCTTGTTCGTGTCCAAACTTTCCACTGTGCATTGCTCCAAAACCCTATCCTGCATGAATGGCGCTATGTAAATGCAAATTGGTGTTGTAGCACATCCTCTTTGTTATTCAGCTTTTCCCGGACTTACCTGGACCAAACTCCATACCCACATCTCACCAGTTCTGGCCAGGCTCCACTGGCTCCCCAGCACCGAACGGATCGACTTCACGATCCTCACACTCGTGTTCAAATCCCTTCTTTCTCTGGCACCTCCCTATCTCTCCGACCTCCTCACTCCCAAATCCACCACCCGGCGCCTCCACTCGACTGCCACCGGCCTCTTGCTCGTCCCTCGCACCCTCTGCGCCACCATTGGAGGTCGCACTTTCAGCCACTACACCCCGAAACTCTTGAACACACTCCCTCAATCCCTCCGCTTTGCCCCATCTCTCCCCTTCCTCTTCAACCGTGCTTACAACCACCCCCCACCCTCCAGAGTCAAGCTCCGCCACTGTTAAGTGCTTTGATATGCTACCCTGCATGGAGGGCGCTATATAAGTGCATGTTGTTGTTTTCACAATGGTATCTGCATTCATTTTAGTTGTAAATTCCCCTCCACCCTTCCAACATCATCACTACCACCCCAAGGCTGTGATAATTACATTTAAATTGTTAATTGCAAAGTAAATTGTTGCTTTGAGTTCACCTTTCCCCACAAGTTGGCTCACTCGTTGGGTTGACAAGATTGTAAAATCAAGGGTATCTGGAATCTGAAATTCACAAGCACGACTTACACTTGATAGTTGATATTAATGGGAAGATTATTTGAGTAGCAGTGGGAGAAGGCTGAGCAGTAACTAACGTAGAAACAGAAATTGTCAGCACAGAATGAGGTCATTCAGCCAGTCTTATCTATGCCATTGCAATATGCTTTTCTAAGTTGCTCTTCATTATTTAATCCCACTTTCCAGCTCTTTCCCCATATCACTTCATGTTTTACTGCTCAGGTACTTACCAAGTTCCTCCTTTGAATGGTACTATTGATCCAGCCTCAAAAGCCACTTAAGTGGCAATGAATTCCACACACTAACAACCTTCAGAGTGAATAAATCTCTGCTAAGCTCTTGCCTGTTTTGTTTGTTAATAATCCTGAGATCATGCCCCTTTGTCAATGATTCATCCCCAAACTAAAGATTGTTTTCCCCCTATTTACCTCATCATGGCCCTTCACAATTGTATACTCTGTTAGGTCTCCTCTGGTCCTTCTTCTGCTCCAGTGTTGAAAAGGTCCTAATTTACCCAGCTTCTCTTTAAACCCATGTATCTCATTTCCAGTATACTGTTAGTGATTCTCCATCTCAATGAAATTCTTTTAGTGATTTCCTAGTGAAAAACTGACATTTTCTCCTTTATTGTAAAAAAAATCTTCTCATTAGTACAAGTTGGGTTTGAAGTATGGCTTTCTATTAGGGAAGAGGGTAAAATCAGGGTTCCTAGCTTTTCGTGTAGCTGCAGTGCACTCCATTGATCTAAGATGTTATTGCAGCTGATTTTCCTATCTGAGTTGTGTGTAATGTCAAATAACATTTATTTGAAATGACAAATTTTGCCCGTTAGATTATCTTTTTACATGTTGCTCTTCCAAAAAGCAATTTACCATTTTGGTGACGGTTTGGTCAGGTTAGACAGGTGGATTCCAGTTGATCAGGCATGGATTTTTAGAAGGTCCTAGGAATGTTCCAGGAATAGCTTGTCAATGTGAGGTATTAAACAGAGGCTGGATCTTTCCTCACAGTGAAAAAGAGAGGATGTTACAGGCTAGACCTATCTCTGCAGCCACTGTTGCATATTTTGATTGCAGATTGGCATAGGCTTCAGATCACTCACCTACCAACTTTTTTTCTTTTGGTCAGCCTTGTGCGGAAACACATGCTTAAGAGTATCCAAACCAAACTGAGAATTCCATGCATTCTCAGTTTGATTTGGATACACATGTAAATTCCAGAGATAAATTGTTTGAATGGAATGTGCTCTCTCACTGGAAGGATGTATCCTGCTTACCTAATTCCTAAAAGTGTTAGGCACAGGTTGGCAAGTTCCAAGGTTTCCAACATCTGAAGGCAAAGAGTGGTGCAGGGAAATCAAAATCTCACTTCGTCCTTGAGCATGTAAAACCATTTTGTTCTTAAAATGTAAGTTTATGCAGAACTGTGGAAAATTCAAAAAAAGCTGTCTTAATTTGGAAAGCGAACCTTTTTAAGAACCAGAATAATGGTGTGCAAAGTAACCCTGAGTTTAAGAATTTTTCACGATCAATTTAAAATTTTAAGACATAATGATCTTGCAGGTAAAAAGACTAGGTAGAATTTCAGGCCTCTAGCATCAAATTGGGATATAGATTTGATTTTATGCATGATTACGTTTGAGCTCTTGAGTTCTTATAATCATTGAAAAGCAAGTTTCATGAGGCCAATGGGAGGTTACAAGGAAAACGTCCACTCCTTCTGCTCTTGATTTCCTGTTCCATTCTAAGGCTTAGAGAAAAGGTAGAAACACGTAATGTTTCTTGTTTTCTGTAAAGGAGAGAATGCTGCTCACACTGCTATTTGTCAGACAACGCTACCTCATCTGATACATTGGTCCTTTGGCCCCATCCTACATCGTTACCCAGTTGCAGAATTTCATTTCAATTTGGAGCAAAAGATAGTCCTCTTATGATTATATCCACTGCCTTAAGTCCAAACTTACATCAATGTATACAATCACTACATTGATCCAAGGGGGATTGACTTTCTCTTTGATTGGAGCAAACATTCAGAAAATTGAGTGAGTTATTTGTAGCTGATCATTCAGAATTTTGTTCTGAAACCGCACTTAATGAACAGCTGGTGGAGTGCGTCAAGCAATAGGTCGCCATGATTATGTAGGTAAGGAACTGTCATTTTTTCTTCTAGTTTCAGCTTATCAAAACTCCAATAAATCATTTGTTTTAGTTTTAAGAAATTGCCATATGAGAATTCAGAATTGTCTCACGAATCACACAAAAAAATCTACAAAACTAAATGTCAGTCTGTCCACTGCACAGTAGCTAAGTAAGCTTTACTGGTGCATTCCTGAGTGGAGATTATGTGTAAGGCAGTAGTTTTGGCTAATCATAGAATATTACAGCACAGAAGGAAGTAATTCGGCCCATCGTGCCTGTGCCAGCTCTTTGGTAGAGCTATCCAATCAACCCCACCCCCCTGTTCTTTCCCCATATTCTTGCAATTTTTTCCTTTTCAAGTACCTATCCAATTCCCTTTTGAAAGTTGTTATTAAAACTGTTTCCACCACGTTTTCAGGCAATGCATTCCAGTCTGAAACAACTTTTTGTGTAAACAATTCCTCCTCACCTCCCCTCTGTTTTCTTTGCCATTTATCTTAAATCTATGTCCTCTGGTTCCTAAAGTGCAGTGCTCAGAATTGGGCACAATACCCCAGCTGAGGCCTAGCCAATGACTTATAACGGTTTAATAATAATAATAGTTTCCGTGACCCTATCATTTCCACCCTCGCCCGACTCCACTGGCTTCCCATCACACAGAGGATACAGTTCAAGATCCTGGTCCTCACTTTCAAAGCCCTCCATGGTCTTGCTCCCCCCTATCTCTGCGACCTCCTAACCACCTACCATCCTCTGCGCTCGCTCTGCTCAGCGGGCTCCGGCCTGCTTCACGTCCTCCACTTCGCCAGCCCACCATTGACAGCTGGGCCTTCAGCCACTCTACCCCCACCCTCTGGAACTCCATCACGCAGTGCATCCACCTCACCCCCTCCCTTGCCTCCTTCAAGACCTGTCTCAAGACCCTCTTCTTCAACCGTGCCTTTGGTCACCCTCCTGATCTCCACCCTCCCCGACCCCCAGCTCGGGTCCAAAACACTTGATTGTCCAGCACCTTAGGATGTCCTCCCAATGTGAAAGACACTATACAAATGTAATTTTGTTGTTGTTGTTTAGCAGAACTTCCTCGCTTTTGTACTCTATGCCTCTATTTATAAATCCAAGGATCCCATATGCTTTTTTAACAACTCTATCAACCTGTCCTGCCATCTGTGAACCTCCAGGTCTCTCTGCTCCTGAACCCTCTTTAAAACTAACATTTATTGTATTTTACGTCTCCTCATTTTTCCTCCCAAAATGCATCATTTCACACTTCTCTGCATTAAACTTCATTTGTCATGTGTCTATCCAATTCACCAGTCTGTCTATGTCCTCCTACAGTTTATTACCATCCTCCTCACTGTTTACTATGTTCCAATATATTAATATTTGGTAGGTGCTACGGATAACTTGATCAGTAAATCTGTCCTTGAGGCTGGATTATCCACTTCTTCCCAAGAGGAACTTATTCCTCCTAGTATGACTACTTGGTCCATTTCTTGTGTTGGGTGAGATATAACATGAAGGAAAATAAGCACTCTTGAGATGCTGTCCCATGTGAAGGGTGCTATATAAACAGATTAGAATGTATTAGAATATACAGCACAGAAACAGGCCATTCGGCACAACTGGTCTATGCCGTTGTTTATGCTCCACATGAGCCTCCTCCTGCCCTTCCTCAACTAAAGAGTCCAAATATGTTCAGCCTTTCCTGATAGGTATAACCTCTCAGTTCTTATTTCATCCTTGTGAATCTCCTTTGCACCCTCTCCAGTGCCTCTACATCCCTTCTATAATGTGGGGACCAGAACTGCACACAGTATTCTAAGTGTGGCCTAACCAAGGTTCTATAGAGGTTTACCATAACTTCCCTGCATTTCATTTCTTTCCCTCTAGAAATGAACCCCAATGTCTGGTTTGCTTTTTTAATGGCCTTATTAACCTGCGTTGCTACTTTTAGTGAATTGTGTATGTGTACCCCAAGGTTCCTTTACTCCTCTACCCCATTTAAGTTTTTATTTTCCAGGATGTATGTGACTTCCTTATTCCTTCTACCAAATTGTACCACCTAACACTTTTCTACATTGAAATGCATTTGCCTTTTAAATGCCCGTTCAGCAAGTTTATTAATGTCTTGCTGTAATTGTTGCAGTCCTCCTCTCTATTAACTGTTCCCCCCAATTTGGTGTCGTCTGCAAATTTTTAAATTGTGCTGCTGATTCCCAAGTCCAAATCATTAATGTAGATTGTTGATGTTACTTTGCCCTTTCAACAAAGCAGGTTGAGGGGTGAGCAGATAGAATCGTTAAAGTTAACAGAGCTTTTGATAGTAAATTGGGAGAAATTATTTACATTGGTCAGTAAGACGGTGACTTGTGGATATCATTTGAGATAGATAGCAAATGGGTAGCAGTTAGATTTTTTNCACAAATAGTGATTAGCATATGTGTTGCCTTATCATGAGCAGTAGTTGAAACATAATCCATATTATCTTTCAAAAGGGAACTAGATAACTACCTAACAAGGAGTAAGCTATAGGGCTGTGGGGAAAGGGCAGATAAGTGAGACAGAGAGGATTGCTTTTTAAAACAGCCAGCACAGGCCCCATGTCCAAATGACTGCCTGTCGTGTTGTGAATTTCCATGGTTTTAGCTGCCAATTGCATCATTCTTCAAACTCGAAGTACCCACCCGCTGCCCAGCTCCAGCCCCCCGCCACCCAGCTCCACCCCCTGCCACCACCCTCCAACTCCCAGCCGTGCTAAGTGTAGTGACTGTATATTTGTAGATGTAAGGCAGGATCACTCAATGCAAAGAATGTGGAAGATCCTACAAGGAAGGTAATCTCTCTGTACAGCAATTGAGCCGAACTCAGTGAAGTTGTGGTTAGCCTGGGCATTAATTCAGTTCCAAGCAGGACAGGAAATATCTGTCTCCTTGCCACACTACCATTTGATCTGGATAAAAATACAGGAACTCTTATGTGGAAAGTGGGGGGAGATGGGTGAAAACATGTCTCGCCCAGTAAATAATTAATTCACTGACATATTGCCCACCTGCTCCTAGGTTATTTAAGTATCTCATGTTTATTTCACAGGCAACATTCATATTTGTTTCTCTCCATAGGAAACCAAACAAGACAAATACACATTAAAAAGCGTCTGTCTGAAGAAAACTACCCTTTATATTGTCTATGACCTGAAGAGAGTAAGGAGAATTCGGCTGTGGCTCTGCATTGTGCAGGACAGCACACAAGGAGGCAAAAATGAAGTACTGGCATCCTATACGAGCATCTGTCAGAGATCGAGAGATTAAATTATCCATAGTGCCAAAGTTTTACTACTGCAATCTAAAGGCTCTTTGTAAATAATTTTCTGTTTTTGAACAGATTTATACAATATAGGGATTTTGTTACATTTATAATTGGTGAGAGTTGACTTTGCAGATCAGGGTGTGTCCTTTGAGCCCCCCCACTACCACCCGTCGCCCCCCAACCCTTTTTGCTTTGATAGGTTTTAGTAACCACTACCAGATTCTTTTTTATTTTAATAGATTTCACACTCGCTAGTTTTTAAGAAAAAAAATCCAAATTCTCAACTGAAGGAGGCTGAGATACTGAATGACCAAAAACATGTTTGTGTCCAGTAAACATCTTTAGGTCTTTGTACAAAGGATGGAAAAATATTGAACAAGCACATTATTGATAGCAGCTTGACATTATAAGAAGCTACATTTAACTAATGCAGACTGATTTGCCCAGTCTTCAGCCACATAGAGGTCTACAATATTGACTTATTTATGTCAGTATAATTACCTATTTATATTTGCAGTCACTGTTTTCCTCCTGACATTTGCAAGACTCCATATTCAAAATAAAATTGCAAGACTACATATTCAAAATAAAACATACATTGGACTGAGTTTGACTTTTGTAATTATTTGCAGCCTTTTCGTTCAAGAATAGATTTAAATTAATGGTGCCTCTAATTCTAAGGGAACTGCACAGTTAGGTATTGCTGGCTGAGGTGACCTGCAAGCTGGAGTTGTGGAACTCTGAGCTCCAAGGAGTCTGCATTCAAACTTACTCGAAACTCAGAATTAGTCATTGTCTGTGGATATGTTTTACAGTGTCAGTTTTTAGCCAATGGTTGGTGGAGAACAACTCCGAGACCTGTCCTTCCTTTCAGAACTCTTCTCAGTCAAGTTCAAAGTGCCCGATGAGGTCTAGATTTTTTTGTTGTACCTTAGAGGACAACCTTTCATGTGAAGTTGTGAGGGGGGAGATAGAGGAGAATTACAGCGAAAGTTAAAATCCTATTTCATTCCAAGTATAAAAAGATCTTGGAAATTAATCAATATAAAAATGAAAGTTGCAGTGCAGATGATATAGAAATAAAACCATACAACTTTGAGATAGATATCTGATCTACAAAAATCTAATCCAAAAGCATTTGATGGAATTCTGATCTTTCCCTGCACCTTAATGACAGAAAGGGGGCTGATTCTAAATGGTAATTGTATTTAGTTTTAATCTATGATCTAGTTCCATAGGTATTGGTATTTATTGCACAAACGCACACTATTTTTTAACTCCTACTTGACTGAGGAAGAGTGATCTTATTGGTTTCTATTGGGCTTATTGTGAATGTTGTATCATGTAGAACCTTTAGATTTCTTCTCGTTTTTTGGCTGCTTCATTTTTTTAAAATTCATATCTGTTTATTTTATACACAAGTTCACAATTCATTTCCTCCCTTCCTTCCCCCACTAGACAGGCTGCGAAAATGTGAACATTACAATTTAACCTGCTGTTTAATGCACCTCACCTTCACGGTAATAAAGTTACAAACCAAAACTGCACGGAAACTTCAGTGATCAGCTTGTTTTCGGGAGTTGTGCAAATTGTTCAGCACCCTGAACTCTGTTTAACAATGGTTTATTTTTTTATTTTACAATATAATTTTGTATTAGAATAAGCAAACTAAAGTAGTGTAAATGGTGTTAAGGTGATTAGCCACTGTACTGAGGTATTTCAATATATTTCACAACAAAACAGTTAAAAAGGAAAGGGGTTTCAACGTATGGCCTGGCTTGTCCTGATTCCATAACCACTAAAATTTTAATTCTAAATGAGGACAGACCAAGGCTTGCCCATTTTTAACCAGAAGAGATGTATGCTCTAGAAATATGGGGTTGTCTTTTGAGCTGTAGTTCATGTTCATGGGGCAGAGATGAGGGAGTTTTACTCGAGTGTTTGGCTTATGCTATACCAGACTTCAGAGTGCTCATTGCACACACCAGACTTCCAAAGTGCAAAATTGTTCCAATCCCCAGCAGACAGTCCAAATAGTGCAAATTTCACCAAATAAAAATAAGTTTCTTTTTCTCTGACCTAAGGAGGGAGAGCTATAACTAGCTGCAGTTAATATACTTCAAAATAATAATCACCGTTTCAAATTACCAATGAGTTTGTTTCCAAAGTTGTATCCATCTTGAATAGAATACAGTTGAAGATCATAACATACTTTTTTTTGTTTATGAGTAAGATCTTAAGCCATTAAGATCTCTTTTTGTGCTGTATGATTCTTTAATGAGGTCAATTACATTTTCTACTGTTTCCCATTGTGTATCCTTGTATTTGTTCTTAAATTCCTTTGCCTTAACCCATGTATTAAATGTACATAATGTATTAAACATTATGATTTACACAGCTGCACCTGCACTCTGCACACAATTTGCATTGCACTCACAAGTATAAATTTCATGTCTGATACTGTACAGTAACCTCCATATAGCCTCATATCTCACTAATGTTAAAAGTCAGAGTCTTGGGAGTTAAGTTTTATGGTTAGCTAGCTTTCTTAATCCTGTTACTGGAAATAAACATTGTTTTCAAATTTATTTTCTTCCAGTCTACTACGCTATGTTGATAGTTTGTTTTTCCACACCTTCTTGCAAGATGTGTAGCAGATTCTGATTTGCAGCAAGTGGAAAAGTTTTCCCTTTCAATAATTGTGCATTTTCATTTCATGTCAGTGAGACCCAAGCAAAAGTATATACTGTAACAGGCGTGCATCAGCAGTAGACAAATGCATTTTCCTCAGACAAATGCACATTGGTTTTATTCTTCCGTTGACTCATTTTTTAAAATAAAGGATTTATAAGGATAATGTCTAGGCTATTGTAATTAATGCAACAAATGCAATTTGGTAATGTTACACATCTGTTTAAAACATTTGAACCACTGTTCTTTCCACTCAGCATAAGTTCACTTCCTTTGAAGTGAGTGGCTATCAAGAGCTAATTGAAATGTTTTAATTAGCTGTCATGTTGATGGTCAGTTGGGTGGAATTTTTTCTTCATTGTGAATAATTCCCTATTTTGATTTTAAGCCAAATTATATTAGCAGTTGTTCAATTTATGAATGTAAAATATGCAATGTCCTTTTTCTAAATACTGCACTAGTATTTGACAGCCAACAAGACTAATTTGTAAGTTATGAAGCTGGCCGAGGTCACACTTTAACCCACAACCTAGTGAGTCAAAATGTCCCTTTTGCTTTTCCCTCCTCTAAGGAATAGAGCACATCCTGCACCCCACTGTGGCTCCAGCTGAGATCACTTCACACTTTGTAGGGAATCATGGGCTGTTCATAGTTTTAGTTAATATCTTCAGCACTGTTTACATTGAAGGATTTCTATTCTAATGTTGATATGAAACTTATAACATTTTTAAAAATATTCCAAAACACGTATTCTCGATATCTGGGGATAGGAGCAGTGGAATTAGAACTTATTACAGTCTGACTCTCTTAATAATGCTGATTTTTGAGAGATGCGTCTGATATGGTAGTTGTCTTATGTACTTCATCAGTGTGGGAGTCAAAACCACTGACTGAGTAATGTAATTTTTGAAATCAAAGTGAGCTATTGCATCACACTATTGCAAAACATCAGTTTTATTTTCTTAGTGGGAAATATATGATTTTTTAAAAAACTAATGTACTACCTATTTACCTTCAGATGGTAGTTTTTAGTGGCATTTCATTGCAGAAAACCCTGGACACTAGCGCCCTAATAAAATAAAAAAATGTACAATACCAGGACAGAGGATTGCAACAAAGTTCACAAAGTTCTAAAACAAAATCAACATTATATCTACATCTAAAATGATTTCTTAGCCAACTGATTTCTTGAATTTATTGACAAAACTTGCCCTCACCAACATTTGCTGTAAAGTAATTCAGTCAGAATTGTTTGTCCACCTTCTCTATTCTGCGCTTGAGTCCATTTCTCCATTGATCATATGTTTAAGTAATAAGATCAAGTTTATCTAAACTAGAAATGTTGTCCGGTCCTATTTCCTTTCTGTTTCACAGTGCAAGTCCTAAGTCTATATACAGTAACAATGGATATAAAGGTAGAATGGTTCATTTTGTGGGGTCCTGTAGGGTAGTGGTTAGCAAGCGAGAGAATCCGGATTTGATTTGCGGGCGGGGTAAAACTTCAGGCAAGCTTTCTTACTCCACAGGCCTCTGTTTACCCAGCAGTAAGTAGGAACCACGACGATTGGTGGATCGCTTTCCGGGCATAATAATCCCTCCAAAAAGAAATAATAATAATTTGGTTACTCAATCCATGACTTTTTGTGAGACACTGCTGTGCGCAATTGGTTGCCAATTTCACCCATAAGATACAGTCAATCCACCTTACAGCATATCATACAATCTGTAAAGCACCTTGAGACGTTTCAATGATATAAGGATTATAAATGCAAGGATTATTATTGTTTTACATATTAACAAAAAGAATCTGAAAAAAATTATCAATGGAAAAAAAACATTTCATACATTACTTGTTTATATAAGTCTTGTAGTTGATATAGCACTTTTCACGTCTTCTAGACGTCTCAAAGCGCTTCACAGAATATACTGTAAAGTGAATTGACTGTATATTTGTGGGCGAAACGCGGCAGCCAATTGCGCACAGCAGCGTTCCACAAACAGTCGTGGATTGAAAATGACCAATTTATTTTTGTTGTTTTTTTGGAGGGATTATTAGGCGTTTGGAGTAAGGAAACTTGCCCAAGGTTTCTCCCTGCCTGGAAATGAACCCAGGTGTCTCGTTTGCAAGGCGAGTCCTCTAACCACTGAGCTACAGGACTCCACGGTTTACTA